TTCTTTGAGCCACAGGAAGCCAGTGCAGAGAACCTGAGGACCGGACTAATATGGTCATAACTTCCTGGTTCCTGTCAGGACTCTAGCTGCTGCATTTTGGATGTACTGCAGCTGCTTACAGGTCTGTTTGGACAGACCTGTAAGAGGCCATTGCAGTAGTCCTAGCCTGCTGGAGACAAATGCATGGACAAGAATCTCCAAGTCTGCTGCCCTGTGGACACTATATTTCTAACTTTGGCAATGTTCTTCAGATGGTAAAAAGCTGTTGATGTTATTGATTTTATGTGGCTATTGAAATTTAGGATCTGAGTCCAGTATTACCCCCCCAAATTTCTGACCTTGTCTGAAGGAAGAAGGGAGAGAGACTGAAGTTGACAAATGACGCCCTCACTTTGTTTCTGGGGACCAAAGACAATGATTTCGGTTTTGTCTGCATTTAGCTGGAGGAAATTATTTTGCATCCAGTCACTGATCTGTTGGATACAGTGAAGGAGCAAATCCAGTGGTCCATGTTCTCCTGCAGTCAGTGAGACATAGATCTGAGTGTCGTCAGCGTAATTGTGGTAGGACACTTTGTTTCTTTGTATTAACTGACCTAACGGCAGCATGTAGAGATTAAATAGGAGAGGTCCCAGGATCGACCCCTGTGGTACTCCACAGGTCAGGGCCATATGATCTGAGACGCAGTCTCCAATCTCCACAAAGTACTTCCTATCCTCCAGGTAAGACCTAAACCAGTCTAGGGCTGTGCCAGTGACACCAACCCAGTCCTCCAGTCTCTGCATGAGGATCTCATGGTCGACAGTGTCGAACGCGGCACTAAGATCTAACATGACCAAAACTGTGACTTTACCTGCATCAGTGTGAAGTCGAATGTCGTTTGTTACCATTCACTAGAGCGGCTCTCAGTGCTGTGGAGGGGTCTAAACCCAGACTGAACATATCAAAAGAATTTATTCATTGGTTAAAATTCAGTAAGTTGTTTGGGAGGCCACTTTTTCAAGAATTTTTCCAATAAATGGCAGATTCGATATGGGGCAATAATATTGAAGTCCCGCAGGATCCAGACTGCTCTTTTTTTAGGAGAGGTCTTATGACTGCTCTGCTGTTGTTTAGGGCCATAGGAAATGGTTCCTGACGACAGAGACATGATTGACTATTTGTGTCAGTGAAGGTGAAACAAACACTGCTCAGACGGACTTCAGAAATTTAGAGGGCAATATATCCAGGCTACATGTGGAGGAGCTCAGACTCATGATTATCCCTTTTTGACAGTTTCAGTATCCACAGGTGCAAAGTGAGTTAGCTCAAAAAGCTTCTCTGGCTGTTGCATTGTTATACGTGCTGTGGAGGTGATAGTGTTTTTGATTCCTTGTACTTTGTCATCGAAAAAACTGTGCGAACTCATTACACCTAGATTTAGAGGAAAATTCTAGGGGCAACTTTACAGGGGGGTTCGTTAATCTACCAACTGTTGAAAACATAACACGAAAATTGTTACTGCAACCTCCAATAATGTCAGAAAAATACATTTCTCTTGTTCTACGTAGAACCCGGTTAAATTCACCCAACTCATCTTTAAAGATTTCATAATCGCCCTGGAAATTGGACTTTCGCCACTTCCGTTCGGCCCTCCGGCACTCTTGCTTCTGTGCCCTAACCGAGTCTGCCTTAGTCCATGGGGCCTTTTTCTTACTGGTAACTATTTTAACCGTCACAGGAGCAATGGCGTCCAGAACAGTCAGAACACTGGTGGTGACAGAGTTATACAATTCATCAACAGTAGAGCATGGAGTTTTCTCAAAATTTAGCATTCCCATGAACAGTTCACTTGTGTTTTCATGTATGTGTCTTCTTCTAACAGTTGTAAATTCAGCTGGTGGTTTGCTAGCAAAACACATGTCAAAAAATACACAGAAATGATCTGACAAAGCAACATCAACTACATTAACATTTGATACATTAACCCCCTTTGTAATTAGCAGGTCAAGAGTGTGCCCCCTGCTGTGGGTGGGGCCACTCACGTGCTGAATGAAACCAAAGGTCTCAAATACAGAAGCCAGCTCCTTTGCATTTCTGTCATCAACATTATCAACATGTACATTAAAATCACAATGAAAAGAGTAGAAGATTGCTTTTGTTTCCTGTAATAACACGATGAAAAATTTCCAAGGGGCATTCTATGGGAGACAAAGTGCTCTCTAAAAACTGCAGCTATGCCTCCCCCCCTTTTGTTTTCTCGTATTTCGGATTCGAATTTAAAATTGGGTGGTGTTGCTTCTATTAGAACTGCATTTCCTGTATTTTGGTCGAGCCATGTTTCAGCCATAAGCATAAAATCAAGATCATAAGAAGTGATAAAATTATTAATTAAAAATGATTTGTTACATAGAGATCTGACATTAAGCATAGCAAGTTTAAAAATAACGTCAGAGTCGATTAATGTGGTTGATTGATTTCTACAGGGAACAGAAATTAGATTTGCAGAGTTGGACCGTCTAACTGCTGTCCTGTTTTGATTTCGTTTTTTAGAATTTAAAAACATTTTTGAGCTGGTGCGAGGAACACACACAGTCTCAATTGGCCTAAAATGTGAAAACCCTTGTTGTTCTTTTAGCTCCCAGAGTCAGAAGGGAGTCAGCACAGTTCAGTGTTTGGACTGGTAATGCACTGCCAGACGGACAGGGAGCAGTGTTTGCACCGTTGTACTCACCCGGTGCTGGTGAGCAGGAGGCGGGGGAGTGCGGTGGGGTCCGAGGGGGCTCAGATGTAAACAGTCACGCCCCCCTCGGGGAACGCTGAACAACATAACGTATGTAATCCATCAACAGGCTGCTACCGTATCTGTTTGGGTGTAATCCGTCTGGACGATAGGCTTCGTAACGTTTCCAGAAAAGGGCAAAGTTATTCACAAAGACAAAGTTAAAAGAGCTGCATGTAGCCTGGATCCACATATGCAGCGCCACAACACGACTGTAGAGGCAGTCACCTCTGTTTACAGTCTGGATTGGACCAGAAATAAAAACAGATAGTCCGGACTTTATTGTGTGAGCAGTAACAACACAGTGCAGTGTGTAACTCCACCGTGTCATGTTGGCATTATTATCCCTGTTTTATTTGGTTTCCTTTGTGTCTTTTTAGTTTGACTTTCTGTTCTGTTGATCGGCGATCCAGTGTGTGTGTTTATCTGTGTGTCCCTGTGTGTGTGTTTAAACCCTGTGCTCCTCTGGTTGTGTGTCCCTATCCTCCTCTGGTTGTGTGTCCCTGTGTTCCTCTGGTTGTGTGTCCCTGTGTTCCTCTGGTTGTGTGTCCCTGTGTTCCTCTGGTTGTGTGTCCCTGTGCTCCTCTGGTTGTGTCCCTGTGCTCCTCTGGTTGTGTGTCCCTGTGTTCCTCTGGTTGTGTGTCCCTATCCTCCTCTGGTTGTGTGTCCGTGTGTTCCTCTGGTTGTGTGTCCCTATCCTCCTCTGGTTGTGTGTCCGTGTGTTCCTCTGGTTGTGTGTCCCTGTCCTCCTCTGGTTGTGTGTCCGTGTGCTCCTCTGGTTGTGTGTCCCTGTGCTCCTCTGGTTGTGTGTCCCTGTGTTCCTCTGGTTGTGTGTCCCTATCCTCCTCTGGTTGTGTGTCCGTGTGTTCCTCTGGTTGTGTGTCCCTATCCTCCTCTGGTTGTGTGTCCGTGTGTTCCTCTGGTTGTGTGTCCCTGTCCTCCTCTGGTTGTGTGTCCGTGTGCTCCTCTGGTTGTGTGTCCGTGTGTTCCTCTGGTTGTGTGTCCGTGTGTTCCTCTGGTTGTGTGTCCCCTGTGGTACCAGTATTGGCCTTGGAAACACAATAACACCATTATCGACCCATTTGTCTGGAGCAAAAGAATCTCTCTCACAGATCACTTTTGAGCAGAGTTGCGTTGTTGTGTTGTGTTGTGTTGTGTGTTTTTGTTCCTGGAGTTCCTGATGTGGAAAAGTGAGAAGCCTAAATAGGACAGGAGACGGGGAAGGCTTCGGAGTTCTGTCCCTGCAGTAATTAGTCTCTGAACACGTGTCGTCTGTAACGCTCTTTAGGGCTAGGTCGGGTGACTGCGGAACAAGTGCTTAACCCATTTAAGCCCAATTTTTTTTAAAATATGAAAATATCCAAATCATGTTTCACTGAGAACCCTTTGACATTATCAATAACTGTTTTGTTTTTTTAATATTGGAAAGTAGGTGAAAATGTGTGTTTTATGACCGGTCACAATTGTGACCAGTGGGATAATGTGTTGTATGCTCAATCGAAGGTGCTGAAAGTGCAAGAGTTCTGTATTCTGACAGCAATGACTGATCAGGAATTTGGGCTTTACAACACTGATATGAAGACTAAGACCAACATACCAAATATGTTCACATTGTTTAATTAAATGTAACTTGCAACAGCATCACTTTAGTGCAACATGTATGTATTTTTAACTAAAGTGCAACATTTTTTATTGTACTTTGTGCAATATTATTTGTGATCTCAATATCACATTTTAGTGCAACATTCACTAAACATTCCTCTCATGTGATTCAGTCAATGTCCCTATAAAACATATCTAAGTAGATTAGGGGCAGGTACAATATTCTGAACAAAGTGCTTGATTTGTTAGCTATTATGCAAATATTTTTGCATTCTAATCCATCAGACATATTTACAGTTATTACAGCAATAGAACATAAAAATATAATTCTGATTTGAAACCTGCATGTGGATGACATAAACAACAAATGATCTGTAACTTCATCTGTCAGTCCCACTGCTGTGCAATATGTCTACTCAGTTGACCTTTTCCAAGAACTACTGTCCATGGTATTTCTTGAAACACTCAATGTGCAGTGAAGCATTGCATTTCTCACATGCGAAGGTGGTGCGTTTATCACAAAGACAACATACACACGTCATCTTGCCTGATCACAGAACACACACACACACACACATACACACACTATGCTTATTATCAGTCACTGTACAGGACTTCTCTCCGCATCATAACTTGGATGCTGCTGCATTTTGACAACCACAAGACTTCATTGCGTTTTCTCCTCACCTCCTCACCTCCCCACCTCCCTCCCTCGCACCCTAAAAAGAAAAAGAAATCCCACCCCGATGCCCCCCAAATGGATGTAGCTCAGCAGAGGGGTGATCTGTCCAAGCGAGAGGAGCCCGTGAGCAAGAGACGCATCGGCTGAAACTGGACACCACCCTTTATAATCCACCTCCTCCTCCTCTTCATCACTATAACGAGACTTTTACCCAATTTTTGTGAGTCTTTGTGAATGACTGACACAGGATACGGCGCCCGTCAGCCTGCCCTTATATGGAGATTACATTATAGCGCGGCTTGTTGCATTCTCTTTTGTGCGTCAGGGGAGAGAAAAAAGAGGAAAACCCCGGAGAGATGTCGTGTCTACGCAGCAGCTGTCCCACGTCTCCAAAGGGACCAGCGCGCACCCACGTCTCGCGTTCAGGTAATGGCCAAACACGCGCGCACGGCTGTACAGATAGAGAGGTGCATACTCCTGCATGTGTTGGCTGTTTCTACAACAGATGGATGCAATGGAGACGGCTCTAAATGTGATTAAAGTAAAGTGTGTCCCCAATTAAAGATTTATGGTAACCAAGCAGGGACAGAGGCCAAATCGTTGCATTGGAGAGAGGTCAAAAATAAATAAATAAATGAATAAATAAAGAAATTGATGTTGTGTCAAATGGAAGTGGCCCCAGGGTGAAACCACGGGGCTGGATAATCCCAACCAAGGGCATCAACAGACATGCACACGGCAGAAGCAGCGAGAGGAGCTAGGAATGCAAATACATATATGTGAGAAAAGTATTTTTGCATGCAGTGGGAATATTTGCTGAGGAAAGAGAGCTTTACTTGGAAAATAAGAAAGTGGTGTGCATGTTCAAACTATGAGCTGGTCCGGGGTTTGACTGCTTAAAAGGGGAAATTCTATAATCCAATATATAAACTTGCCATATTAAGTCCAGAACAATCATTTACCAGTATTGTTGTGTGTAAAACCAACCAATCAAGTTAATGAATGATCAATCCAGAGATGAAATTGCTTTAACTCTACGGCAGAATGTGTTCCGTATGCTTTATTGTATACACTCCACTGTGAGAAAAGCAGTCGGGGATCATGCTGAGAGATTACAGAGACCGTGTCCAGCTCCTAAAGACACGATAACAACAAACAGAGCCATGATAATAACACCTAATGTTGCACCAAGTCAATACTGCAGCAGCTCAGTCCATTCCAGCCGTTCACACACAGGTCCATCTGAACCATAGGAACCGTTACTGCCGCTAATCCAGGGCTAATCCACACAGATTGGGAACGGTTACACGCCAAAAATATATGCATGGATTATTTATATTGAGGTGAAGTGGTGTGAATGGACGTTCAGCCATTTTGGATTCGGTTTTTTCTCCATATTTACTTCATAAACGCAAATCCATGAGTCAAACCAGAAGCTTTTCCAGCGGTGAGACAGAAAAATGTCAATAATGTCTGGTATTATCAGTATTGTTTTTTTTTTTTTATTATTTTAGACTCAAATGAATATCAGTACAACAAAAGACAATGCATTACTCTGTGTTTGTACAGATGTGGTCACTCAAGTAATCAATCTTTAAGCAAAATCTACCTTAAAAGTATAAGTTTTTTATACTTATTAGAGCTCGATTATGTTATTATTCTTGCGGATCGATGAGGAGGGTGTAGAGACATGGACCTATTGAGAAGCAAATGATTACGTCACATGGAGCTGGTGCATTGTGGTCCGGACCGCGGCGCCTTCACAAGACTCTTTTCTACTTTACTCCAAAGCTAGACTCAATCTGGTTTCACAAATCCAGGTTGAGACCAAGTTTGGACCCAATTTGTGCTCGGGCTAAACAACAATCGATAACATACGTGACTGATTCTGGTCTGCACTGCAAAAAATGATGCAAAATACGTCAAAACTCGCTCAAATTGGGCAGAACGTGTCTTAATATGAACAAGATTTACCGTTGGGACAAAGTAAAATGAGCTTGTTTTAAAAAGAATCAAGAAATGTCTCAATTGGAACGAGAAAATAAAGCTAAAGATCTAAAATGGCTTCGTCCCGTTGGAGAATCTTGTTTTACGACAGAATGTGCTCAGATTACTATAAAAAAAAAAGCTCGACTCCAGCGTTTATTGTTACCTCATATTTGATCGGTTTTTGCAGTGTGTGACGTCTGACTGGTCTAAACTGGATTAACGCTTTGACAAACATTTTCCTACCTGTTCTACTGAGAATATAACTGGGAAATCCTAACCCTAACTCAAACCAGCAAAAAACTGAGCCAAGACTAAACCACGGTTTAAACTTCTGTCGTCCTAATAACTTCATCATCACAGATTATTATGGTGTGTCTTTGGAGTCGCAAAACGGCAAATTCAAGAAGAAATGAAACTCAAAACAAAACAGAGGAAGCAATTTACTGTGGCTTGCTTTAAAATACAATAATTAAGTAGCTTCGTTAGCATTAGCATTTTCAGTTTGAGTTTATTTATCATTATTAGGTCCAGGATTAACAGTTCAAAAACACTGACCGTGGACTTCAGCAAGAAAAATATGAACGAAAACTAACCCTAACCTCAAAAACATGAATGTATTTTCACAACAAGAGCAGTCACTTTGATCAAACAGTAAACGAGTGTGTCCCAAAGTAGGGTCCGGGGCCCTCAGGCTGGTCTCAGAGACAAAGCAGAGGCCCCAGAATGATAGACACACAAGCTGTCGGTAAATCAAACTTTATCCAAGACTTTGTTGAAATTATTACCGTATTTTTGGGATTATAAATCGTAGTTTTTGTCATAGTTTGTCCAGAGGTGGGACTTATGTTTTTAATAATTACATTTTTTATAGTTTTTACCTTTGGAGTTGTTCAGACGTGACACAGAAGAAGATTTCATTGTATTTTGTGATTTGAGCAACACTGATTCTTTGCTAAACTTTTACCGTAAAACGTGACGTTCCCTGTTTTTGCCTCATTGAGATTAAGAATCGTCCCAGAGCGGGGAAATTTCAGTGTTGCATCACCAGTTACAGAACAGTTGTAATGAGGAGCTCACAGCACTAGAAACATGAACAATAACTCCAAACTAATTAAAGTCTGTTGTTCCCAATTCTTTTTTTTATCTTAAATTGCCTCAAGATGTTAAATTCTTGGTGTTAGGTTTGATCAAATAATTTTACTTATTCTCTAGTGCCACTTATAGATGTTTTTATCCTTCTTTTTTATACATTTTCAGATGGAGAAATGTATAATCCCAAAAATACGGAACTCAATTAGCGCTTGTTTTGATCACCTCCAGAATGATCCTGAATGTTTGTGTTTTTTGGCGCGAGGGAAACCACAATAAATGTATAAATCTATGAATCCCACTTATTTGACCGTTTTTAACCAGAAAAGTCCCACTGACATTTCAGAAAGTATATTTTTGGGTGAGTCCTGGCTCCAAAGCACCGCTATCAACCATCGCCTGCTGAATAACATCGTAAACAGACGTGTAAAGTTCTGAATTATTAACAATTTTAACACATGTTTAACGACACCAAAATATAGATGGGTCTTTTAGTGAATCAATTCAACTTCATTACAGACTCTAGGTCCAATTTAAAACAGACAAGACTTAAAAAGACAGACATGTAGATGCACTGACTCGACTGGCTGAAAACAAGCTTAAATAATTAATTAATAAAACCTGCTGATTAGGGCTGTGTCTAACTTCTTTGATAATAAATGTGTCAATCTATTGTTGAAATGCATTAATTATTTGAGAAACTAAAACCCCAGTTTATAGGCGTTTTCTGTTTAAATTGATTTGAGAAATATTCATAGAAAATTCCCAAAACCTGACATTCTTCAAATACGTTCCAAATGGGATGTGGGTTCCCGATTCCAGAAGAATAGTTTTAATTAAATATTTTTAAGCACAAATACCGATAAATATGCACAAATGTTTTTAGACATTTGTGCATATTTATTTATTGACAGTAACCTTACCCCATATTGTTGACTTTCCATGAACTTTAGACCAAATCCACTTCGCGACTAAAACAGACTGATTTTAGAAAAGTTGTTAGCTACTATTGACACTGTTTCCAATTGACACTTGTCACTTTTGTTGTACATAATTATTGTCACTTTATTGTACATATATCCTACATGTAACATGTTTGCACATTTCCTCCTTTTGCACAATCTGAGTGTCTCTATCCATGCCAAACGTGACATGTACATTTGTCCTCTGTGAGATAAATAAAGCAATCTTATCTTATCTTATCTTATCTTAAACTCAAAGCAGCCATTTTAAAGTTTAAGCGTAAATCCATGGGTTTAAAATGATCAAAAGTGAAGACTGTGGAAATTAAACTGAAAATCAACGATGGATTCTAATTTCTAGGTCTAGATTTATATTATAGCCTGTATTTGAACGAAATCACTGCTTTTGTTTCATTCCCTGCACTTGTCCATTCAACACAGACATTAATAATAATAATAATAATAATAATAATAATAATAATAATAATAATACCTTACTTAAAGTTGGGGTCTCTAACTGTTATTTGCTCTCACAGAAACTAAAAATGGACAAATCCTACCCCAACATGCTGTCTCTATATCAATACAAACACATGTATCTTTGGCATAGGTACGAGAAAGAGCCCTGGGAGTCACTATTTGATGCTTTGGGCTGAGAGCTGATTGGCTGAGAGAGGGTGGTCCTAAAGATGTGTAAAAAACTAGAACTAGAGTCAAAGTGTTTCCATAGGTTTTATTTCTGGTTTGGTTTGAAAGTTAGATACCTCAGCTTTAACTTGTTTGGTTCTGTATGAATGAATACACAGGTCATTAGGCTGCTTAAACACTAAGTAAAAATAAAAATAAAAATACACATTACTGATTTCAAAATACATATTTGCTGCAACAATGTATATGTTTTTTTTTGTGATCAATTTGTTTTATTTTTATTATTATTATTTTTAAGGGAAAGTATATGAATTAATTATTTCACATTTTAAGGTAGTTTTAAATGTTGATAATGTATCAATTAACTTCATTAAGATCCTTCCACATGTTTACTCCAATGACAGACACACATCTGTTTTTAATGTTCGTTCTGGATTTCACTGTATAAAATATTATTGTACAGTGCAGACCAAAAGTTTGGACACCCCCGCACTCAAGAGTTATTTATCTTCATGACTATCAAAATTGCAGGTTCACACTGAGGGCCTCAAACCTATGACTCATGTGGATTTATGAACGTACCTAAATTAAAAAGTATGAACCAAGTGTAAATATGTGTTATATTCTGGTTCTTCAAAGTAGCTCCTTTTGCTCTGATACTGCTTCACTCTTGGCATTCTCTGGATGAGCTTCAACAGGACCTGAAATGGTCTCCAACAGTCTGGAAGGAGTTCCCATGATGCTTAGCACTTGTTGGCCCCTTCACTCTGTGGTCCAGCCCCAAAACCATCTGGACTGGGTTCAGGTCCAAAACCATTTGGACTGGGTTCAGGTCCAAAACCATCTGGACTGGGTTCAGGTCCAAAACCATCTGGACTGGTTTCAGGTCCAAAACCGTCTGGACTGGTTTCAGGTCCAAAACCATCTGGACTGGGTTCAGGTCCAAAACCATCTGGACTGGTTTCAGGTCCAAAACCGTCTGGACTGGTTTCAGGTCCAAAACCATCTGGACTGGGTTCAGGTCCAAAACCATCTGGACTGGGTTCAGGTCCGGTCTCTCTCCTTATTGGTCAAACAGCCCTTACACAGCCTGGTGCGGGTCTACAGCAAAAGTCATGAAAAGAACTCAGTGAAGGAGAGAGGGTGTCCACACTTTTGCTCTGTACTGTAGATAGTAATACAGAACATTTCTATTCTTTTCTTTCTTTATTCTGAGCCATGGATCCTGTGCTTGCGAGTCCTTAATAAAGTCTAAATAATAATAATAATATTGGCAGCAAATATCAGCATAAAACCCCCAAAATCCCATCCTCCCCGCCACCCATCTGCTCTGCCTATTTATGCAAAACCAGCGGCTTTGTTTTAGCCTCAAAAAAATGAAAAGAAATTAGATTTTTATTGACCTGCCAATATGTCGCCGCATTTCCCCCAGGCCTGTGTTTGCTCCCTCCTAATTAATATCCTGCTCCGGCTGGAATCAAGATAAGATGGCTCCAAATGAAACTCAGTCACACGAGAAGAAAGAAGAGGTTCTGCCAAGTTTAGAAGCGAGAAAACAAAGGGCCAAAAGGACATAACAGTGATGGATATGCACGGACCCAGAGCAGGTGGGGAGGACCCAGAGCAGGTGGGGAGGACCAAGAGGAGGTGGGGAGGACCCAGAGGAGGTGGGGAGGACCCAGAGCAGGTGGGGAGGACCAAGAGGAGGTGGGGAGGACCAAGAGGAGGTGGGGAGGACCAAGAGGAGGTGGGGAGGACCCAGAGCAGGTGGGGAGGACCCAGAGGAGGTGGGGAGGACCAAGAGGAGGTGGGGAGGACCCAGAGCAGGTGGGGAGGACCAAGAGGAGGTGGGGAGGACCAAGAGGAGGTGGGGAGGACCCAGAGCAGGTGGGGAGGACCCAGAGCAGGTGGGGAGGACCCAGAGGAGGTGGGGAGGACCAAGAGGAGGTGGGGAGGACCCAGAGCAGGTGGGGAGGACCAAGAGGAGGTGGGGAGGACCAAGAGGAGGTGGGGAGGACCCAGAGCAGGTGGGGAGGACCAAGAGGAGGTGGGGAGGACCAAGAGGAGGTGGGGAGGACCCAGAGCAGGTGGGGAGGACCCAGAGCAGGTGGGGAGGACCAAGAGGAGGTGGGGAGGACCAAGAGGAGGTGGGGAGGACCCAGAGAGGTGGGGAGGACCAAGAGGAGGTGGGGAGGACCAAGAGGAGGTGGGGAGGACCCAGAGCAGGTGGGGAGGACCCAGAGGAGGTGGGGAGGACCAAGAGGAGGTGGGGAGGACCCAGAGCAGGTGGGGAGGACCCAAGAGGAGGTGGGGAGGACCAAGAGGAGGTGGGGAGGACCCAGAGAGGTGGGGAGGACCCAGAGCAGGTGGGGAGGACCCAGAGGAGGTGGGGAGGACCAAGAGGAGGTGGGGAGGACCCAGAGCAGGTGGGGGGAGGACCCAAGAGGAGGTGGGGAGGACCCAGAGGAGGTGGGGAGGACCCAGAGGAGGTGGGGAGGACCAGAGGAGGTGGGGAGGACCCAGAGCAGGTGGGGAGGACCCAGAGGAGGTGGGGAGGACCAAGAGGAGGTGGGGAGGACCCAGAGCAGGTGGGGAGGACCCAGAGCAGGTGGGGAGGACCCAGAGGAGGTGGGGAGGACCCAGAGGAGGTGGGGAGGACCCAGAGGAGGTGGGGAGGACCCAGAGCAGGTGGGGAGGACCCAGAGCAGGTGGGGAGGACCCAGAGGAGGTGGGGAGGACCAAGAGGAGGTGGGGAGGACCCAGAGCAGGTGGGGAGGACCCAGAGCAGGTGGGGAGGACCCAGAGCAGGTGGGGAGGACCAAGAGGAGGTGGGGAGGACCCAGAGCAGGTGGGGAGGACCCAGAGGAGGTGGGGAGGACCCAGAGGAGGTGGGGAGGACCCAGAGCAGGTGGGGAGGACCCAGAGGAGGTGGGGAGGACCCAGAGGAGGTGGGGAGGACCAAGAGGAGGTGGGGAGGACCCAGAGCAGGTGGGGAGGACCCAGAGCAGGTGGGGAGGACCAAGAGGAGGTGGGGAGGACCCAGAGCAGGTGGGGAGGACCCAGAGGAGGTGGGGAGGACCCAGAGGAGGTGGGGAGGACCCAGAGCAGGTGGGGAGGACCCAGAGGAGGTGGGGAGGACCAAGAGGAGGTGGGGAGGACCCAGAGCAGGTGGGGAGGACCCAGAGCAGGTGGGGAGGACCCAGAGGAGGTGGGGAGGACCCAGAGGAGGTGGGGAGGACCCAGAGGAGGTGGGGAGGACCCAGAGCAGGTGGGGAGGACCCAGAGCAGGTGGGGAGGACCCAGAGGAGGTGGGGAGGACCAAGAGGAGGTGGGGAGGACCCAGAGCAGGTGGGGAGGACCCAGAGCAGGTGGGGAGGACCCAGAGGAGGTGGGGAGGACCCAGAGGAGGTGGGGAGGACCAGAGGAGGTGGGGAGGACCCAGAGCAGGTGGGGAGGACCCAGAGCAGGTGGGGAGGACCCAGAGGAGGTGGGGAGGACCCAGAGCAGGTGGGGAGGACCCAGAGAGGTGGGGAGGACCCAGAGGAGGTGGGGAGGACCCAGAGCAGGTGGGGAGGACCCAGAGGAGGTGGGGAGGACCAAGAGGAGGTGGGGAGGACCCAGAGCAGGGGAGAGGACCCAGAGCAGGTGGGGAAGGACCCAGAGACATTGGACCATAGGAGGTGGGAGGACCCAGAGAGGGTGAGAGGAGGGCTATTTAGTGTAGGGGAACCAGAGGACCCGGAGGGGGAGGAACAGAGGAGGTGGGGAGGACCAGAGCAGGTGGGGAGGACCCAGAGCAGGTGGGGAGACCAGGCGGTTCGACCCAGAGGAGGTGGAGGAGGCAAGAGGTGGGATCCACTCAGCACCGTGGGGAGGCCGAGCAGGTGGGGAGGACCAGCAGGTGGGGAGGACCCAGAGGAGGTGGGGAGGACCCAGAGCAGGTGGGGAGGACCCAGAGGAGGTGGGGAGGACCCAGAGGAGGTGGGGAGGACCCAGAGCAGGTGGGGAGGACCCAGAGAAGGTGGGGAGGACCCAGAGGAGGTGGGGAGGACCAAGAGGAGGTGGGGAGGACCCAGAGGAGGTGGGGAGGACCAAGAGGAGGTGGGGAGGACCCAGAGGAGGTGGGGAGGACCAGAAGGACCCAGAGCAGGTGGGGAGGACCCAGAGGAGGTGGGGAGGACCCAGAGAAGGTGGGGAGGACCAGGACCCAGAGCAGGTGGGGAGGACCCAGAGCAGGTGGGGAGGACCCAGAGGAGGTGGGGAGGACCCAGAGGAGGTGGGGAGGACCCAGAGGAGGTGGGGAGGACCCAGAGAAGGCAAGAGGGGGAGGACCCAGAGGAGGTGGGGAGGACCAGAGGAGGGGGGAGGACCCAGAGCAGGTGGGGAGGACCCCAGAGGCAGGTGGGGAGGACCCAGAGCAGGTGGGGGGAGGACCCAGAGGAGGTGGGGAGGACCCAGAGGAGGTGGGGAGGACCCAGAGAAGGTGGGGAGGACCAGGACCCAGAGCAGGTGGGGAGGACCAGGACCCAGAGGAGGTGGGGAGGACCAGGACCCAGAGAAGGTGGGGAGGACCAGGACCCAGAGCAGGTGGGGAGGACCAGGACCCAGAGGAGGTGGGGAGGACCAGGACCCAGAGGAGGTGGGGAGGACCAAGAGGAGGTGGGGAGGACCCAGAGGAGGTGGGGAGGACCAAGAGGAGGTGGGGAGGACCCAGAGGAGGTGGGGAGGACCCAGAGAAGGTGGGGAGGACCAGGACCCAGAGCAGGTGGGGAGGACCAGGACCCAGAGAAGGTGGGGAGGACCAGGACCCAGAGAAGGTGGGGAGGACCAGGACCCAGAGCAGGTGGGGAGGACCAGGACCCAGAGGAGGTGGGGAGGACCAAGAGGAGGTGGGGAGGACCCAGAGGAGGTGGGGAGGACCAAGAGGAGGTGGGGAGGACCCAGAGAAGGTGGGGAGGACCCAGAGGAGGTGGGGAGGACCAAGAGGAGGTGGGGAGGACCCAGAGGAGGTGGGGAGGACCCAGAGGAGGTGGGGAGGACCAGGACCCAGAGCAGGTGGGGAGGACCCAGAGGAGGTGGGGAGGACCCAGAGAAGGTGGGGAGGACCAGGACCCAGAGCAGGTGGGGAGGACCCAGAGCAGGTGGGGAGGACCCAGAGGAGGTGGGGAGGACCAAGAGGAGGTGGGGAGGACCCAGAGGAGGTGGGGAGGACCCAGAGGAGGTGGGGAGGACCAGGACCCAGAGCAGGTGGGGAGGACCCAGAGGAGGTGGGGAGGACCCAGAGAAGGTGGGGAGGACCAGGACCCAGAGCAGGTGGGGAGGACCCAGAGCAGGTGGGGAGGACCCAGAGGAGGTGGGGAGGACCAAGAGGAGGTGGGGAGGACCCAGAGGAGGTGGGGAGGACCCAGAGAAGGTGGGGAGGACCCAGAGGAGGTGGGGAGGACCAGGACCCAGAGCAGGTGGGGAGGACCCAGAGCAGGTGGGGAGGACCCAGAGCAGGTGGGGAGGACCCAGAGGAGGTGGGGAGGACCCAGAGGAGGTGGGGAGGACCCAGAGAAGGTGGGGAGGACCAGGACCCAGAGCAGGTGGGGAGGACCAGGACCCAGAGGAGGTGGGGAGGACCAGGACCCAGAGAAGGTGGGGAGGACCAGGACCCAGAGCAGGTGGGGAGGACCAGGACCCAGAGGAGGTGGGGAGGACCAGGACCCAGAGGAGGTGGGGAGGACCAAGAGGAGGTGGGGAGGACCCAGAGGAGGTGGGGAGGACCAAGAGGAGGTGGGGAGGACCCAGAGGAGGTGGGGAGGACCCAGAGAAGGTGGGGAGGACCAGGACCCAGAGCAGGTGGGGAGGACCAGGACCCAGAGAAGGTGGGGAGGACCAGGACCCAGAGAAGGTGGGGAGGACCAGGACCCAGACCAGAGGAGGTGGGGAGGACCAAGAGGAGGTGGGGAGGACCCAGAGGAGGTGGGGAGGACCAAGAGGAGGTGGGGAGGACCCAGAGAAGGTGGGGAGGACCCAGAGCAGGTGGGGAGGACCCAGAGCAGGTGGGGAGGACCAGGACCCAGAGCAGGTGGGGAGGACCCAGAGCAGGTGGGGAGGACCAGGACAATAGTTCATCCACTGATCCATCTGTCATCATTAAAGGGCCCTAATCTGTCATCATTAAAGGGCCCTAATCTGTCATCATTAAAGGGCCCTAATTTGTCATCATTAAAATACTACTGTCATTATAAAATTGCAGTAAAATCCAGACGGAATCACATTTAGCAGATCTTTCCTCCGAATGTTATTTACCTTTAAGACAAAAGTAAAGGAAAGCAAATTGTAAATACATTTTTGTCAAGTGTAATTTCTTTTGTTTTCTGAGGATAAAAAGGGCAATTAGAAATCCACATTGAGTTAGATATTATCTTTGATGTTGAACAATGACGTCTTTTGAGAGAACCAACAAAATGTACAACACAATTCAACACCAGGTGACTTTTATACTGGTCTGGGACTGAGGAGTTTGCAGAGGCCCCTGGGGACTAGGGCTGCACGATACTGGAAATTACTGCGATATTCGATATGAGGGATTAGTATTGCGATAACGATATATTGTGATATTTTTGTCTTTCACCTAAAATGACCTCCAAATGCATTCATTTAAATACTTTTATGTTTTTTTGTTTGTTGTTCTTGATGAATGTTGATGTGTCTGTTTTGTTTTCTTTAAAGCTGCACTAATTGACTTTATTTTTGTATTCATGAGTTAAATCCAGTCCATGTCCATGCAGTGCATTGGGATACGTCCTTTTGAAGAAAAAGTAGCGCAGATTTGTGCTGGCGTGACATATTTTAGTGGGGGGTGAAAGCTCGGTGGGTGTGGGGAGGGCAGAGAGAGGGAGCTGCTTTTGAAAATGTCTCAAAATCAGTTAGTGCATCTTTAATAAATGAATTTTTAAAAAAAGGTAAAAAAATATGTATTTACCTTTATATCATTAATTTTTATTTTTTTTAATCGCGGATATTTTTTATATGGATATTGATGACGACTTTTTTTCCAATGTGTTCAGCCGCTGTATGGTTCAGTTTATGTGTTCAGTTTGTGTGTTCAGTTTGTGTGTTCAGTTTGTGTGTTCAGTTTGTGTGTTCTAGTTCAGGCTGTTGGTCCTGGATTAAAATCTCTCCATTCTTACGATGCGTTCATGGTCACTCGTTACTAAAAAGCCCTTCTCACTAAATTGCATTGTTGCTATTTTCTCTAAATTAACAACCTCCAAATCCAATCATGTTTTTGCACGAGTCTCCAGCCTGTTCCCGGAGAGAGCTACTTTTTCTGGACTAAAAAGACAGTCGACAAAATGGTGCTACAGTGAATTAAGTAGATTGGATCTTAATTTGAAAAAATGTCTGAATATAATGGAACAAGCAGCTTTAGTCTTACTTCAACTACAGTTAGAGGAAATATAATTCTTGTTTCGTCAACAAACTAAACAGTTTTAAGACCATACCAATGTTCTCTAATTAATCTTGGCATTTTTGTTGTCTAGTGTTGTACCCATAAAACCATCCATAATCATTCATTAGTGCAAAAACTAGGCATAATTTTATTTGTAGGTCCAAAGCTGTAGGTTTGAGACCCATGGTTGGGTTCATGTACAAAATATATCGTTTTGAGAAATTTTAGTCGTTGATGCATCTATTTAGTTGACCAAGATCACATGTATGTATTCTAGAATGTGTTGTTTGTAGAGTTGTGTTGCTGCTGATCCTTGATGGCATTGTTGACGTAACTGTCTTTCTTTGTGTGTCTTGAAGGTCACTAAATGGTTTTGTGGGCGAGGACTTGTAACCAGCGAGATGCTGCTTGTACTACTGCTGGCAGCGCTGTCGTCCTGCGTCCCGGCCTCCCTCTCCTCCTCCCTCTCCTCCTCCCTCTCCTTCTCCCCCGCCGACAGCCCCACCATGTCAGACCCCTCCTCCCCGGAGCCCGTGGCCGAGACCTGCTCCGTCTGCGGCTGCATGTCTGTGGAAAACGTCCTCTACGTCAACTGCGAGAAGCTAACGGTGTACCGCCCCACGCAACTGATTCCTCCAGTTTCGCAGCTCTATCATTTGAACTTTCAGTACAACATTTTGAACATCCTCTACCCAAACTCTTTTCCAAACTTCACCCACGCCGTGTCGCTCCATCTGGGAAACAACAACCTCCAAAACATCGAAGGAGGAGCGTTTTCCGGGATGAGTTCGTTGAAACAGCTGCATTTGAACAACAACGAGCTGAAAGTCCTCAGAGCGGACACGTTCATCGGAGTGGAGAGCTTGGAATACCTCCAGGCTGACTACAACTTGATCAAATACATTGAGAAGGGAGCGTTCAACAAACTTCATAAGCTAAAAGTGCTAATTCTCAATGATAATCTAGTACAAGCGCTACCAGACAACATCTTTCGGTTTGCTTCACTGACGCATCTGGATATAAGAGGAAACAGGATCCAGAAAATCCCGTACATAGGAGTCTTGGAGCACATTGGGCGCATTGTGGAGCTGCAGCTGGACGATAACCCGTGGAATTGTACCTGTGACTTGGCACCGCTGAAAGCATGGCTCGAGAACATGCCCTATAACATTTTTATCGGGGAAGCGGTTTGTGAAACGCCAAACGATTTGTACGGACGGCTGTTGAAAGAGACCAACAAACAAGAACTGTGCCCGATGGGAACCACTAGTGACTTTGACGTGAGGATGCCGCCTTTGCCAGGTGATAATGGGCCTTCCAAAATGTCCCCAACAACTATTCTGCCAATGGCTACAAAATCACCAAAAACAACAGACTCCTCTAAGATTTACGGTAATGGCATAGTGGCTGGGGTACCGCCATTCGGAAGTAAAAGCCAAATTGTTTCCTTTCAAACCCGGACACCCCCTATAATGTGCCCGCAACCGTGTAGCTGCAAGGCACATCCATCAGATTTCGGTATTAGCATTAGCTGTCAAGAACGAAACATTAAAACCTTATCAGATCTTGTGTCCAAACCTCCAAATGCGAAGAAATTGCACTTGAGTGGGAATTACATCCGAGATATTGGCCCCATTGATTTCCAAGGACTTGAGGGACTAGACCTCCTTCATCTTGGCAGCAATCAAATCGTTACTGTCCCAAATCGTGTTTTTGCCAACCTTACTAACTTGCGGAGACTCTATTTAAATGGAAACCAGTTAGAGCAGTTGCACCCAGAAATGTTCTTGGGTCTGACGAACCTGCAGTATCTATATCTGGAGTACAATGCCATAAAGGAAATTCTAGCCGGAACTTTTGACTCAATGCCCAATCTCCAGCTCCTATATCTCAACAACAATGTATTACGAAGCTTGCCGGCGTATGTATTTGCAGGTGTACCTTTGGCCAGGCTAAATTTGAAAAACAACCACTTCATGACACTACCAGTGAGTGGAGTGTTGGACCAGTTGCAAACTTTGACGCAAATAGATTTGGAGGGGAACCCCTGGGACTGTTCATGCGATTTGGTTGCTCTTAAGCTGTGGCTGGAGAAGCTAAATGACGGAGTTGCTGCCAAAGAGGTGAAATGTTCTTCACCTGTGCAGTTTTCCAACGCAGAGTTGAGGCAACTGAAAAGTGAAATCATGTGCCCAAAACTGATCCATCGGCGGCCGTTTATTGTAACGAGCCCGACTCCTGTTTTGACCTCTATGTCACCAGCAGGAGTTGGCAAAGCCGCACCCGGTGGTCCTGTCCCACTGTCTATTATGATCCTCAGCATTCTCGTTGTGCTCATAGTAACTGTTTTCGTGGCCTTTTGTCTATTAGTATTTGTCTTGCGGCGGAATAAGAAACCAGCTGGGAGGCAAGAGGGACTAGGCAATCAAGAATGTGGCTCAATGTCTTTGCAACTTCGCAGACATAACCACAAAAAATGCGCCATGCCCGGTGACGATCTGGGAGGAGAGACGTTCATTCCGCAAACCATAGAGCATATTGGAAAGAGCCACACATGCGGGATGGGAAGGAACTCAGACATGGATGCCGGGTTCAAATTTGTCGATTCGCAGAGGCAAAAGATTATCCTGCGAACCTGCGACAAGGACAAAGAAGCTCTATCCACGCTGGAACGCGACAAAAGACTCAGCACCATCGACGAACTGGAGGAGTTTCTTCCCAACAGAGAGCCAAGCATGTTTATTCAAAATTTCCTTGACAGAAAAAGTGATTTTAACAGCATAGGCATGGGAGGGTATGAGATACGCTATCCGGACAGTAGGAGTCTGGATAGAAAGATGAAAAAAACTTCGCTTATTGGTGGCAATCATAGCAAAATTGTGGTGGAGCAAAGGAAAAGTGAGTATTACGAGTTGAAAGCCAAGCTCCAGGGCACACCTGACTACCTACAGGTGCTGGAGGAGCAGACTGCGTTGAGCAAAATGTAAGGATGCTATTTTTACTTTTAATTTTCGCCCGTTGGTTCCACGCAGGCAGACAGAAAGCCAAAGTCATCTGTCTTTTCAAGCTTGATTTGCTTCTCCCCCTCTCTCTCTCTTTAGCCACACAAACATATCATTCAACCCTCCTCCTCCTCTTGCTCCCGTCTCTATCTCACTCCCACACATAGCAAAAAAAAAGTGCCTTCTGGGAATCCTAAATGACCAATGCAGAGATGGACAAAATGGCTCCACACACTTCAAAGCTATTACTCAAATCAGCGTGAAATATTTGCAAGTTAAGGACCTGTTCTGGGTTATCATAAAGTGCATATACCAGGGACCGGACAGCGACTACGACACGGACTAGTCACTTTGCTGCTAATGAGAAATATTTGTTTTCCTGTTTCTTTTTTGGCTCATTTCTTTCCCAACCAAATTCAACCGCAAGGGTCTTGAAAACTAAACAGTGCTTGAGAAAATACCTCGCCATTGTCAGCGTTTATTTTTCCTCCAAAAGATTGACAAACGCTTGGTCTACTTTCCTTTCGCGTTGTTTTAATTTTATTTCAGTCCTAGTCGCAGAGATGCAAGAGATTGTTTTGAGGAACGCACCTAACGCATTTGGGATTTCCTTCAGAGACTCTTGGACGTTTATATGCATTAAAAATGAAATGCTAGTGGTTCTTCATTTGGAAAAAGGATTATAAGACACCGCTTTTAGGAATGATTTCTCGTTGTTTTTTTTGTGTAAAGAGCCATGTTAAATATAGTGTCTTCTGAATGGTGTTTCTCTTTAAAAAAAAAACTGTTTTGGGTGACATATTACGTAAACGGCACATTCACTGTCAAGAGGACGTTATTTCTGAATAAAAAAAATGGAAAAAAAATGTCATGAAAAAAAAAGATATTAACTAAAGCTGCTTGCCATGTAAGCGTAAACCTGGAAATTTATTTTGTATGTCTTACATTATTTGTATCTGTGGGACTAGTTTGTAAATTACAAGGCGACACATTTAACTCCAAACGGTATAATCTCAATCCCAAAACCTTTTTTCTCCGGTCAGACCCGTAGTCCAAAATTTGACATAGCTGTTTTATTTTTCTATGCGAGATTATTTAAAGAGTATTTGGTATAATTTAACCGCGCAGAGACTTTTCAGGCAACACAACAGGACGTCCATGTTGGTTTTTCTTGGGCAGAACTCGGGTGGAGCTGGAGTTGGTTGTGAATTATGATCTTCTTCTTCTTTTCTTTAAGTGTGACGCCTGATCTTGTCCTGACCGTTTCTTTCTTATTACTATAATTACCATATATCTCCGACGATTATCTTGTTCAAGGTTTCTTATGCAACCAAAATAAATGTGCATTCAACTCGACGGTATGGTTCTGCATTTGCTGGGATGGGATTTGTTCAAAATTTCCACTGAAAAAAAAACAAAAACAAAAATGAGAATCATATCCATGTGCAATATATTCTTAAAATCATTTTTTTACATTTATTTACAATCATTTTTTTTTTCCACAAATTTTGTTAAGCTATCCGGTCCTTATTTAAAAGAGTATTGTTAAGTTAAAACTATGAGTGTTGACATTTCAATTGAATAGAATGTATCTTGGAAAGTATAATAAATACAGTTTTCTATCAGTCATAACTCGTCTGTAGACTCTGTAATTTCTTTTAATTTCTTTGTCTTTAAGTCGACAAAACTGGGTGTGATTATTTTACCATTTGCATCAACTCTCAACTGTCATTAACGGTGATCGCCTCAGTAAAAAGTCAAACCGGTTAAACTGGTTTTCAACAAAAATTATCCACTTTTCGTTCAAAACTTGTGTCATTTTATCTCTTTTCCAGCTCTATTGTGACTTAATTACGAGTGAAAGGATTTTACTTTAATACTTTAGCAAAACACATATACATTTCTGCGTCATGAATTTCTACTTTCTTCTGTCGGTGTGTGTCAAAAAATAAAATGAAAGGGATATCAAAGGTGAGACACAGAGATCAAAGTTTGGGCGTGAACCATATTCAAAGGGTTAAACTATTTTATCATAACTTTAGTATTAACGGTTTCCTCGACCTTTTGGTGGATCTCTTTGGAGTCACAATATTGACCTAAAGCTTGGAACTGAAATCTACCTCATTGCATTCCTGTCGTTTGGTTTTAGGCACTTTTACGGCAAACTGCATCTCAACCTTTTGGTAAAGGCCTGTAATACACTAAATAGGGGTTAAAAAACACACACACTATAAGCATTTTTTGTGTTGTGCTCAGTAATAAAAGAAATGTTTGTGTAAAAACATCGGTAAACTCAGATCTGTTTCAATCTGCGAAAGGAGTTAGCCCCTCCCACCTGTTAACGGAGTCAATGGAGAAAATCCAGACCTTAGTATGAAATGAAATGAGTGTGATGGTGTGGTAAGACCAGGCTAATTATTATTATTATTATATTTGTTCTGGGTTCTATGTTTAGACTAGAGCACATAACATGGTTGATTTATCGAGAGAATTAGCAATAACATGATGTATAACATGTCCCAACAGCCCATATAACCTTACTTTGGAGGTTGCCTGTTTTGATAATCATTTCAAGCTCCCTCTGTAATACCCCTGCGTACGCCTATGGGTCTGCGCCCCGCTGGTTGGGAAACACTGCTATACAGTCACAAGTCACAAAACGCTCTAAAGTGGGTATGGAAACTGTAACTAAAAAGGTATATAGGATTTTCCCATATTTTTATATTTTATATTTTTTGTTGTACATAATTATTGTCACTTTTATTGTCCATATATCCTGCATGTAACATGTTTTTGCACAATCTGAGTGTTCTATCCATGCCAAATGTGACATGTACATTTCTCCTATGTGGTAAGTAGTAGTAGTAAGTAATCTTTATTTATATACCGCCTTTTCACTGCACATCGGAGTCTCAAAGCGGTTTACAATTGTTATTTTTGTGAGTGGGGCCAGTACAGGAGGCACATATCAGACCTATTGTACATATTTTTAGTGGTAGGGGAAACCGGAACACCCGGAGGAAACCTACGCAGACACGGGGAGAACATGCAAACTCCACTCAGAAAGGCCCTGGTCCAACCGGGATTCGAACCCAGGACCTTCTTGCTGAGAGGCGAGAGTGCTATCCACTCAGCCACCGTGCCGCCCATCTTATCTTATCTTATATTTTAGTAAAAAACCGCCCTCTCCACTTTCTGAACTCTCTGGTTTGATTGGACGAGCACGTATCACCAGAATGATTGACAATTAGGACGACCAATAATCCTGATGATCCACCTGGAAGTAGAAAATCCTCTTATATACCTTTAAAAGTTCGCACCAACAAGTCTGTGACGGACATATCTGCTAAAAATGACTTTGCTTCTGATTCAGATTTGTCCCATTTTCTTTAATTCTGAACAGAACAGAGCGTCCCATTGTCTTCCCCGTGCACCTCTCACAAAACTGTTTTTTCTTTGATGTTGTACAAATTTATGCTCTTTCAACTTTCTGTTATCATTTGAGAGATGTAACACTGCGCTTAAGGCCACGAGACTGTTCCCAAAACATGGAACCGGTTTGGTTTTTCTGATCCATTAAGAAAACACTATTAACATTGTGAGAAGAGTCGCACACGAGACGCTGCCGCAATAACAGCAGCAGAAGAAGAGAGTTTTCAGCGGGAAAGACGGAGATCACATGCAAATCACACGCTATTAATACTTTTTATCCACTCAGTAGGATCTTTCCAACTTAGCCTGGCTTCTGTGATGTCTGTAGATCCCACCATTTGTCCGAGTCTTTTTGCCAAAGATCTAAATACAGGTATAAATCTGAAAATTAGGGTTTAGCTCAAAAGTCCATTTATAGTAGAAATATGTAAGAAATTGCAAAGTCCGGATTGTGGCCTTTCTGATGTGAGGGAGGATGTTAGCTGTAAAACAAAAGCACGACCAGTTCACAGTCATGGTGGGTGTTCGTTGAGCAGTCTGACAGCCTGCGGGTAGAGGCTGTTACTTTAATTCAACTTATAATGTGAAACTACTACATGCCAGACTCAGAACACACACAGAGATATATCCAGTCTTCATGTGTTATTTTGTTAAAGGTTTACAGGAGGATGTTCTACTTCCTGGTGGAACATCCAGACTATTGGTCCTCCCAGCTGTCAATCATTCTGGTGATGCATGCTCGTCCAATAAGACCAGAGTTTTGTTTGAAAAGTGGAGAGGGCGGTTCTTTCCTAAAATGTGGACCAGACGAGCAGGCGAGAAATGGACCAGCAACAAGGGGAGATAAGCACAGGTACATATAGACACAGAGACACAGGTACATATAAACACAGAGAGACACAGGTACATATAGACACAGAGACACAGGTACATATAGACACAGAGCCACAGGTACATATAGACACAGAGACACAGGTACATATAGACACAGAGAGACACAGGTACATATAGACACAGAGACACAGGTACATATAGACACAGAGACACAGGTACATATAGACACAGAGACACAGGTACATATAGACACAGAGACACAGGTACATATAGACACAGGGACACAGGTACATATAGACACAGAGACACAGGTACATATAGACACAGAGACACAGGTACATATAGACACAGAGACACAGGTACATATAGACACAGAGACACAGGTACATATAGACAAAGAGAGACACAGGTACATATAGACACAGAGACACAGGTACATATAGACACAGAGACACAGGTACATATAGACACAGAGACACAGGTACATATAGACACAGAGACACAGGTACATATAGACACAGGGACACAGGTACATATAGACACAGAGACACAGGTACATATAGACACAGAGAGACACAGGTACATATAGACACAGGGACACAGGTACATATAGACACAGAGACACAGGTACATATAGACACAGAGAGACACAGGTACATATAGACACAGAGAGACACAGGTACATATAGACACAGGGACACAGGTACATATAGACACAG